TTACATACCCTTCTCCTCTCCCCCTCCCTCCTCCTCCTGCTGAGGCACACTAGGCAAATGCTCTACCACTGGGCCACACCCCAGCCCTGGTGTGGATCCCTTAAAGCAGTGGCATGTATGTCTCTACGTCCATACCGTGTATATCTAATTTTCCTTCCAGCTTTTGAAGAGAATCTCCAGCCAAGACCTGAAATGTACTCATATTTTATGTATTTGCTTCTGTGTCTAGCGCTGGGGAGAGATGAAGCAGATAAAATACTGTTATTTCAGGCTTGTCTGCCCCCGATGACACTTCCCTTTGACGCTTAGCCAAGGGTACCACTTGCTCAGACATAATTCAGCGAGTGTAGACTGCTCAGTCGCTATTTCTGCTTCTACATCTGACTCTGAATTCCTTATAGAGGATGTGAAAAATAGAGCTGCTGGGGTTTCCAAGTGTCTGACAGCAGCCCCTAAATACCCTAAGGCATCTGCAAATGGAGTGTTTAAAATAAACGCTATTTTTCAAAAATAGCACCTAATGAATGTATTTTTATGTTATGAAAACAACAGAGCAATGACATAAGACTCTGTGTCTCATGATACAGACGTTTAGGAAATTGCACTTACGTTCTTATCATTACAGTTACTTAGGGAATTTCTAACATCCGAGGTTTGGTAAATGCATCATAAATCCTAGCTGTAATTATATTAGATTGTTCTCTGTAATGTTTACCTTCAACATAATGGAAAGTTGTTCTAGGCCCAGGGCAGGACTGAGAGTCCAGACTCTGACTTTAGGTTAAATCATGAATGTCTGAGTATGCTTCTCTGAGTAGTGGGCTCACCTGGGCTTACAGATGCCTGAGGAGACTCAGAGTCCTCACCTTACTCTTATGACACTTTACATTCATAGCATGTGTGTGAATGTGGAAGAAGCTGCCTAACATCCTGGGTAAAGGAGGTGTTCTCTGTCGGTTTTTGTTTCTGGTTTTACTGACAATCACGCCCAGAGCCTCCCACCTGCTGGGCAGGTGTTCCATTGCTGCGCCACATCCTGCCTCGTGTCATCCTCTTGCAAGCCTTGAAGGCTGGGCCATCGCTGGCTTGTGCAGCCCCGAGGGCCTTGGTGCTTTTTATTGATGACTGCATAGATCACTTGCTTTGCTGAAAGATGGACCAGTGGATCACACCGTTAACATGTTTGTCTTGAAAATGGATTTTCTAAATTCTTTGCTTCCTCTAGTTAGTAGTGGCTGAGATGAAAATCTGGTTTAATTCATAGTATAATATCAGGAAAAGCAAAATAATATATTTAAAAATACAAAAATAAATAGACCTAAGTCTAGATTAGGTCTCTGCAATTTCTTTTTGAGTATTTTCAGAATGGACACCCAAGAGACAAACTATACCTGGAAGTTACTGATTACACAGTCAGTCTGAATTATGGTGTCATTTACACTTGTTTCCAGTGCTCTGTTTAGAATTGAGACTTTTATCTCATGAGGAAAGTTTGCTTATACATAAAATTAATGTTTCTTGATTATGGAACCAGTGTATGGTCATTTTAAACATTTTCGAAACTACTATAAAGTATAAAGAGGAAAATTACAGTAATCCTCAGTGCTACCACCCAGAGATAAATTTTCTTACCATTCTTGGAGCATTATATTCCATGTACGATAGTCATTTTTTTTACTTCATGATATATAGTGAATATCTCCCATGTGATAAATATTTATTTGAATTTATGTGATAAATATTTACGGGCATGGTGGTGCATGGCAGTCACCTCAGCACTCAGGAAGCTGAGGCAGGAAGATGAGCTGGAGACCAGCCTGGGCTACGTAGTGAGTTCTAGGTCAGCCAGAACTACGTAGCTAGACCCTGTCTCAAAAATTTTTTTGTATGAAAAATGCTTAGTAGCAACTATGTAATATTTTATTATGTACCATAATTTACTCAGTCACTGCCCTGTTAGCCATTTGTGTTGCTTCCAGTTTTTTAAAAAATCCTAGCTAAGTTCTAATAGTGACGTCGTGTTTTATAGCTTCTGGGTCCCTCTCTGTTGAGTAGACTCTCAGGGATTTGCTGGGTCAGCGATTGTGAACAATAGTAAGAAATTCGATACATGTTGCTGACATGCTTTTGAGACATAACACTTCAGTTTAAGCATAACCAGTCACAATCTTCTCTAGCTTTGTGCAGTCTTTTCCAGCATGATAATATCTAATCGGCCCTGCTCTGTGCTTTATCCCATTTCACCTTCACAAGGGAGGTACTAGTATCTTCCGCTTCACAGATGACAAACTTGCTAAGGGAGGTTGGCTGACTTTCAGAGGCTGTGCACAGCAGGAGATGAGTGGAATTGACTGCGGATTCGGGGCGTTGGATCCTCAGTCCATTTGCTTTCTAAATTCCCCAGGCTTTCTTCTGTATGCACAGCCTTTGTGTCTTGGGCTGGGGACGCAGCTTAGTGGCTCAGCAGCTGCTTAGCATGCCCGAGGCTTTGGGTTTGATCTCCAGCACCACCAGGTCAAACCCAAAGCGAAAGTGTGTAATGTTTATATTTCATCATTAACTGCAGAAAACTAGGCTGCCGTTCCCACCCCAGTTGTTCTCCTAAAGTAAATATGCAAGTCTCTTGGAGAACACTGAGCATGCCGGTGGACACTGAATAAATGCCCCTTCTCGAGTTCTTAAGTAGGCCACACTCGGTAAGAACTACATAAAGGTCAGTGTCTCCGTCCAGGCCCAGGGCCTCTCTCAGCCCCATCGAGTAAGCAGACAGCTGCTCTCTGCTGCCATTTGAGCACACGCAGGAGCTATAGGTTCCTGGGCAAGGAGTTTTCTGCAGAGACAGAAAAGAATGTCTTCCAAGTTACACACAATCACACAGTATCTCTGCAGAAGAAATTAAAGCAACGAGGAGAACCATGGTGTGACTTCCACAGGGCGACACCTCCTGAGCATATTAGTAACTGTGTCTCTGTCTTTTCTGCCTTGCCCTGCGGAGGGGGAAACCCGTCCGATGGCGGCCGCTTTCTGTCCCAGGTGTGTGAGTACCCCGACGGCACCAAGTCGCTGAAGCTGGGAGACTTCGGGCTGGCGACCGTGGTGGAAGGGCCTCTGTACACAGTCTGTGGCACACCCACCTACGTGGCTCCGGAAATCATTGCCGAAACCGGGTGAGGCTCCTGCTGGTTTGGAGGGTGCTTTAAGGGTGGTGGGCGAAGGGTGAGTTTTGCCATCACTGCTGCCTGTGGATTGAGGGCCTCCCGAGAAGGTGGACAGTAGGAAGCAGAGAGACCGTAGCTGCACCAGGATTTGGACCTCAGGAGCCAGAGTTTGTGCTTATCCAGCCAAAACCTAAGTGCTCAGACTTTTGTCCCAAGGCCATTCTTGGGACTGTGGCAGTGGTCGGTGAGACTGTGGTTAGGTTGACAGGAAGCATGACTGTCCACTCGGTGAGTCATTGCCCTGTGTGAACTGAGCAGTTTGACCCCCGCCCCCCAAGACTCTGCAAGGTTCCTGGGAGTCGTAGTCACATCTGCCTCCCTCTCGTTTTCCCAGCTACGGCCTGAAGGTGGACATCTGGGCAGCTGGTGTGATCGCGTACATCCTTCTGTGTGGGTTTCCACCCTTCCGAAGGTCAGTGGTTCTTCCAGAGGCTGTATTGGAATTAAAAATTCCCAGATACTTTCCTCCTGGTAGTCACAACTTGAAACTGGTTGGTCAGTAAAAATGCTAGTTAAACACTGTAGAAATGTACCTTTCACTTTTTACCTTACTTTACAACCCAGTGTATATTCATTGACCATTCATTCATTCACCCACTGTGTCAGGGATCAAACCCAGGGCTTCACACTGCCCAGTGTGGTGCTTGTTCTGCCACCAAGCCACGAGTCCAGCCTGGCCACACTTCTTTTTTTTCTTTTTTTTTTAATGGTACCAGGGATCGAACTTGGGACCTTGCGCTTGCAAGGCAGGTGGTGGAACCACTGAGCTAAATCCCCAGCCCCTGGCCATACTTTTAACATGTGATCCAGGCCTTTGGTTTGTGCATGGTGCTCTTGAGTTTCTTGTGGCCATTCTTTCATGAAATACTTGAATGTCTATAATACAGGGTCTGGTGTCTCAGTCTTGGGGGGGAGGGGAGTACCGAGGACTGAACCCAGGGCTTTGCATATGCTAGGGAGGTGCTCTACCCCCGAGCTGCACTCCCATCCTCTCAGTATTTAAACAAGAATCATCCTTGTGGGGCACTCTGAATCTTTCCAGATAGATACACTTTCAAATCTATTCTTAAAGAAGCAGGCACTCTTCCCTCTTAGTTTCAGTTTAGCCCTTCACTTAATATTTAATTGAGAAGTAGAATTACAAGTACTCTTGGCATCGACAAGTTGGGAAACAAGCAGCTGACAACAGGATGCTCACTGGTGGGAGCTGAGGTGGCCAAGGACAGCTGTTCAGATGTCTGAGCCCCTGTGTGAACCTGGTAGTCGGGGTCCTGGGGCTTAGCAAGGGGCTAATCTCGAGTAGATTCATCTTCTGTTCAGGAGCAAACAAATGACTTTGAAGCAGCAGTTTACCTAACAATGCATGTTCGATTTTCTTCTATATATTTCTTGAGCACTATTTTCATTTGAATCCCTTTGTTCATTTTATAACAAGTGTTTTATGAGGAGCCACTGTTTGCCAGGCAGTATTCTAAGTGCTGAGGATAAAGTAGTGAATGAGCGTAATCCCTGAAGTTATGGTGTGTTGTAGTCTATGTGGGCTCCTCTAATGAACTGCCATAAACTCTGTAGCCTACAGATGATGGAATTTAATGCTCACAGGCTGCAAAGTCCAAGGTCAGGCACCAGCAGACTTCGGCTGGTAAGAGCCCACATCCTGGTTCTTAGACAGCTGTCCTTTCACTCTTCCCACGACGGAAGGGGCAAGGAGATACCAGGTCTGTCATCAGGGCACTAATCCCCTTCATGAAGGCCCTGTCCTGATGACCTGGTCACCCCCCGAGGCCCTGTTTCCTAACGCTGTCCTGTGGGGATTTGGTCTCACCCGATGCATTTTTGGGAGACACAAACATGCAGTCTGTGGTGTGATGTTTATTATGTTGGATCAGTAAGTGAAAAAATAGGCATCTCTTTTCTCCCTCAAAATTTTTTTTTTTTTTTTTTGGTACCGGGGATTGAACTCGGGTCCTTGCGCTTGCGCAGTAGTCGGTGCAGTGAAACCACTGAGCTAAATCCCCGGCCCGTCTCTCAACATTTTTAATGAAAACTTTTCAAGCACCCAGAAAAGTTGAAAGGTTTATCTTTCTGAAACTCAGTCTTCCAGCGGAGTTGAATAGTGTTTTAATTGACAATCCTGTAAGCAGAGGGACACAGATGTTGGTCTCTACTTGTGAGAATCACATGTGCAGAGACATGCATCATGAGAGTATTGAGAATATATGGAGGGGCGGGGGGATTTAGCTCAGTGGCACCGCGCCTGCCTTGCAAGCGTCAGGTCCTAAGTTCGATCCTCAGTGTCAGAAAGTGTGTATGTGTATATATATGGGGCTTGGCTGTGTGAGGGCTGGACCCCACGTTAAGGTTTACTGAAAGACGGAGCACTGATGTGGGGTCTTCTGGTACAAGCAGGCTTTTCCTAGGTGGGGTGCCTGTGAGGCACGTGCCGTCAACGCCTTCTCCCATCCAGGCCGCGTTGCCTAGAGCCGCGCAGACGGCAGCATTATCGCGCTGTCCCTTGGCCTTTACCACTTAGCGGAACGCTGCTCAGCGAGGCATGTAGAACAGTTCCATGGACTATTTGGGTGACGCTTCTGTGCTGGCTCAGCAGGGGCCTGGTGTGGCCTCACGCCCGTGCCTAGAGGTTGGCTCGGTGTCAGCTGGGGTGACCGATGGCTTGGCCGTGTGCCTTTTCGGCATCAGTGGGCTAGCCTGGCTTCCTGTGATGGGGGAGGCGGGGTCCCCAAAGCAGCCAGAGGGGGGCAGTTCCACCGCCCAGCCACTTTCGGAGTCTGCTCACCTCACGATGGTTGATGTCCCATTGACCACCTCTAGTCTCGCAGAACCCCAGAGTGAATGTGGGGGAAATGAAATAAATGAGCATATTGCGGGGTGGCGGTGGGGGGTGCTGCAGTCTGTGGCCATCTTCACAAGCAGACCAGACCCTGGCAGCTTCGGGCGGTGACCTGGGGGAGCCAGTCCGGTGTGGAAGGGGAGTGTGTGGACGGCAGGCCTCCCGGGCAGTTACAGACAGGTGCCCCGCCCTCCAAGGGGGCAGCCCTTGAAGGGGGTGCTGGGAGTAGGGGCGGAGCAGTGTGTGCTCACTACTCCCTCTAGTGTTCGTACTGAGCACTGCAGCCCGGGAGCCCTCAGGCTTTTTTGGTTTTGCTTTTGTTTTTTTTTGTTTGGGTCTTGGTTTTGGTCTTTAGCAAATGTGGGGGCTCTGACTAAACAGTGTATATTTATCATGGATTGTTACCCAGCAGGCAGCAGCTTCTTTGTGGGATCTAAAGATGACTGGCTAATTGGGTCGGGGATTTAGCTCAGTGGTTCTGGCGCCAGCTGTGCAAATGCAGGGTCCCGAGTTCGATCCCCGGTACCCCCCCCCCAAAATTAGAAAATGCTTCCCTTCTTTCCTGTCATATTGTGTTGAAGGAGAATCTGAGGTATTGAACACTAGTTGCAGAAGTGTCTTCACGGCTCACAGGGACACTCTGGGTGGATTGTACAACCTTCTGTTATATAAAAATGTATGTGGAAATTATAGAAGTTGTAATTTAAGCGATAACTGGTTGTCTTCATAAATTGTGACTGAAGTAAAAGCCCATTAAACAAATATTTCTTTATTTTATGGTACGTTTTAGGTATGCAATATGACATTCATCATTGGAAATTTGCACCTTTACATAATCTCCCTTGGTTCTTATTTTTCCCCCTTCCCCTGCCCTCCCTTCAACCCCTCCACCCCTCCCTATTTACAAAGACTTTGTTTCCATTTTTTCATTTTCTCATTATTTTTCCTTTCCCTTCTTTCCTTTCCCCTACCCTTCCCACTTCCCCTTCCCCTTGGTCCCTTTTCTTCCTATTTCACATTATCTATTATACCTTTTAGCCCTTATTTACACTTTCAGTTTCTCACACTAGAGAAACTATTCGGTATTTACACATGTGTGTCCTATTTCTTTCATTTAAGAGTATCACCTCAATGTGCATCCATTTAGCTATTTCTCTAATATCTCATTTTTTATGCCTGAGTAGTACTCCATTTTATTTTACAAAACCACATTTTCTTGATCCAGTCTCCAGTTGATGGGCAATTGGGCTGTTTCCAAGTTTTAGCTATCATGAATTGTGCTGCTATGAACATGGGTGCACATATATCACTGTGCTAAGAGTCTTTCAGTTCTTTAGGGAAGATACCCAGCAGGGGAATAGCTGGGTCAAATGGGACTTCCAGTCCTAGTTCTTTGAGGTATCTCCATACTGATTTCCACAGTGCTTGCATCAGTCTACACTCCCACCAGCAGTGGAGCAGGGTTCCTCTTTCCCCACAGCCCTACCAGCATTTGTTATTGGTTGATTTCATGATAGCAGCCATTCTTTCTGGGGTTAGGTGGAATCTCAGCATTTAAACAAATATTTCAAAATATTTTGTTTTAGCTACTTTTTTTTTTTGGTACCAGGGATTGAACTCTCAGGACCTTGAGCTTGAGAAGCAGGTGACGGCACCACTGAGCTAAATTCCAGTCCTCAAAATATTTTGTCTTATATAAAAGACAATATTAACCCAAAGCTTTTGATCTCAAATTGTTTGGGATTTACAGTTTCAGTCCTCAAAGCATAACATCTCTTGTTCTTTCTTCCTTGAGTTTCTGGGTTTTAGTCCTAGCTTGATGCGTGGTCTTTGTCCAGTCTTTTTCAAATTTATCACATTTATCTTTATTGAGATTCGTTTTTCAGAGGCACCTCAAAGTTTGGTTGTTGTTTAAAAGTATCTGTTCTTAGAGCCACTGATGACAAGTGTGTATGTGTGGCTGTAGTGAAGTTACACACACAGACAGGTGCACACACACACCGTGGAAGTGAAAGGTTTGCGCATTGTTCTTGAACTCATGTACGACATTGTTAGTACAATGTACTTTGCTGACAGTGAGGGACTTGCCATGGAGAGAGACCTGTGCACAGCCCCTGTTGCTGCTTTTGAGGTTTATCTTAATGGACAGTTCTAGACTTATGGCACCTTGAGCCAAAGGCTCTTGTGTAAGGATAAAAAGTGCCCCGCAGCATCTCAGCCAGACCAAGCAGTGTAAATATGATGATAAATCCAGCGTGGGTCCAGGCAGGGTAGCCTTTCCTCTGTGCTGATGGACCAGGAAGAATGAATCACCTTTAGCCCTGCCTTTCCTGCACGTGTGACCCTCAGGGCCACCGTTTCCACCCCGGGCAAGGGCTGAGCCCCTGGGGGTGTTTGTTGATTCAGGCTGCTTTGTGGACCCCATCGTGGTAAGGACTGGGAGAAGACATTGCTGGCTTTCCACCACAAAACAGAAGCGACCTGGATTGACACACACAAACTATTTGAGAGTCCAGAAAAAAATAAAGGGAAGATAAGTGGAAAAATAGGGAGAGGTGGCGAAAAGGAACAATTCTGGAAATAATTTTCTAAGTATCTTCTAACATTATTCTGATTTTCTAAAGGTTTCCATAAAATCTCATTGTGTTTTCCCCTCATTTTGAAGGAATTCAAAGCGTGAGGATATAAGGGTGGAAAGGAAAGTATTTTGCCACCTAGAAGGAAATCTTTGTGCACGTAAAGAAAATCAGTTTGCAGCATGCAGCAAGCAGCGAGCTTTGCCCGCTCCTTTAGCCTCTTGCTTTTCCCTGTGCCTTTCTCTTTAGTAGGACACAGATGAGGCCCACCATGTCATCGCACAGCCCTAGAATGTGTCTCCAGATGGTGCCACAGTCTGTTTCTAGGAGCACCATCCTTGTCTTTGTCCACCTTTGGCAGAATAGGTAGCAAAATTCCTGAAAGTTAGGGGGAGAAATGATAAGAAATGTTGCCAGCTAATACCTAACTTCCACGCCGGGATACTGACCTGGATTCCTGCAGCCTATTTGGGGTGCTCTGTGGGGGGCGTGGAATGGCCCTAGAAAGCCACACAGTGGACCGTCACTCTGACCATCTGTGCATCCCCCAAGTATGTTGTGCTGTGAATGTGGAGATGAAGTTTTATGGGAGGCTGGAGGTGTTTTCATGTTTTCCTGCAACCTTCCACCAAGAGTCTAGGTTCATTTACTCAGTAGACATCTACTGTGTGTGCCAGTGCACTCTGGGGTGAGGCTCTCATGCATGGGTTGCATAGGGGTGCCCAGCTGGGAGCAAAGCAGGCTTCCTCGACATTTTCGGTTCTAATTGGCATCTTTGGCTGGGCACCTTCGCTCAGGCAGAACATAAATGAAAGTCAAGTTCTAAGGGCATGAATGTTTTATCCAGATTCCCTATGGCTTCTTCATTGTTGAATGTGTCACTTATTGTGCTAGTCATCACTGCGGTGATGAAATGCCTGAGAATAACACCTTCAAGGAGGAAAGGTTTATTTTTCTTACAGTTTCAGAAGATTCAGTCCATGGTTGGGTGATTTTATTACTGTGAGCTGAGATGAAGCAGAACATCATGGAGGAAGGGGTGGTAGAGCAAGGCTGCTCACTCATGGCAGCTGGGTAGCAGAGAACAAGGGAAAGAGCCAGAAAGGAAGGGGCTGGGGACCCAACACAGCCTGGAGGGTCACAGCCCCACAACGCACTCCCAGTAAACCCACCCAGTCCTGGTCTCATCAAGCGATTACCACTGCTGAGATTAGAGCCCATGATCCAGTCAGCTTCCAAAGGCGCATTAGCAAGCAAGCCCTCGATGCAGTGAGCCTTGCAGGGGATATTTGGATGCTGACTGTCACGATGTCTTTGCTGTTTTATTGGGAAAGGGGAAAGAGGAGAGCCAAGTCATCCTGACACAGACTTGCTGCTTTTCTGCTCTTACTGTGATGACAAGAAGTGAGGGAGGGCAGGTCATGCCCCCACAAATGAGGATTTCCATTATTTGTAGATTCCATTTTTTTCTTAAATCTTTCTCATTGTGGTTAAGTAAAGCAAAATAGAAGTTACCATCTTAACCATTTTCCCCCTCAAGCAGGGGCTTGTTCTGTTGCCGAGGCTGTTCTCAAACTCCTGGGCTCAGTGAGCCCCACCCCGGTCGCCCCAGTAGCTGGGACTCTGAGCAGCACCGCCATGCCTGGCCTCTGGCTAGCTGTCTTTATCTCACGGTACAGTCACATTCAGTACACTCACGCTGGCTCCAACCGTTGCCGCTGTCCCTGTGCAGAACCTTTTCATCTTCCCGAACTGGAACTCCGCATCCATTAAACAGTGCTCCTGAGTCACTGTCCTGGTCTTGGCCCACATCTGATTGTCAGGCTGTGGAAATGTTCTTGGCGCATTGTCTAAAAGGAAAAATATGTCATCCCAAATGCAGTTGTGATATACAACTGAGACCTGAGTGCCAGAGACACTGACTACTTCTCATTCTTCCTATGAACATTTTGTTGAAAACTGTGCTGACTTGTACTTTTCTTCATTGCTGTGTCCTGACTTAGTGAGAACAATCTCCAAGAGGATCTCTTCGACCAGATCTTGGCGGGGAAGCTGGAGTTTCCAGCCCCCTACTGGGATAACATCACTGACTCAGCCAAGGTACCGTCTCCTCCTGCTTCTGAGGGTTGTGCTCCATGGTGGGGCCCTTGGGTCCTCATCCACCACATGAGGCCAGAAGCAACTTAGTGTGAACCAAAGGGATGACGTTGGCCTTTCATGTTGGTCCTTCTTTAAGTTCATCCCATGGTATAGTCTCTGAAGTGCTTGACCACATTTTGAAAGCCAGAATGGCTGTCTTCCTAGTTGCCATAACTTTTTCTTGCTCCTCTAACCTGTAAGCACTAATCTTTCATCGAGTCAAGAACTATGTACCCACCGGAATAGAGGTGTGAACTCTGGAGAATACGGAATGGCAAAAGGAAAAATCCTGCAATGTTACACTGTAGAATAATGACAGTGAGCAAGGGAGAATGTCTTGGTTTCATGTTGGCTCAGGAGAGAGCATCTCTTCTCTCCGGGGCTGACAGAGGCAGCTGTGTCTGTATCCCCTCATTGGCACTAGGAGGCCAGGGGAGGTTAGCTTTTGAGTTCAGATGCGCTATGGCTGTGTTGCCTGTTCTTTGCAGTGCTTCCTACAAGCGCAGACTGCTGTATTCGTGCTGGAATTGTCCCCTTTCTCCTCTATGGCCTGCCTTCTTTGCTTCTCTCTTTCTAGGAATTAATCAGTCAAATGCTTCAGGTAAACGTTGAAGCTCGATGTACTGCAGGACAAATCCTGAGTCACCCCTGGGTGTCAGTAAGTACCCCTGTTCCAGGAACAGGCAACTGTGTTTCCATGGCCAACAGCAGGCCCTGGTTTTGTGTTTTGCACAGGTAATGTTGTGCAGCTAAGTTCCATGGCAGACAAAATGTCTCTGGTTCCTAATAAGCAAGTAGCAGCAAGGGAGCTGTCTGGGAGAAAGCAGTCAACACTAGGGTCCTGGAGTCTGAGTACCCTGAGCAAGTCACTGTCCCTTTCTGAGCCTGTTTCCTGGTCTGCAAAGGGAGGGGCTGGCTGTGACCCTCTGTAAGCAGACCCTGTGTCCCACTTTGCCCTATTTCTGGGCTTGAGAGTCTTCTGGGGATGCGCATGTGATCAGTGTCCTGAAGATCACAGGAGACATGGTCCCTTCCAGGGCAGACAGAGGGGTGTGCTGGAGACCAGAGCTCCCTCTGTTTCAGGAGACACAGTGCACTGGATGGTAACTGGAGCAGGATGCACCTGATGTCTCTGGAAGAGGGAGTTAATTTTCTTAGTCAAGGGCTTTGGTTGACCCAGCAGCTCCCTGTGCATCTCACTGCACTGCTCTCTGCTTTCCTGGGCCCAATGATGTGGCTCTTGGAACACGTAGCTGAGACACCACATCTCTCTGTGAGCAGTGCAGGCGTTGAGAGTCCTCGACTTGTTGAGGATGGAACCCAGGGCCTCGTGCATGCTAATCACAGTGCTACCACTGAGCTACACTCCCACAGGCCCTACCCCACCTCCTTTTGAAATATAAGATGAAGTCTATGTGGCCCAGGCTTGCCTTGAAATCCTGGGCTCACGAGATCCTCCTGCCTCAGGCTCCCAAGTGGCTGGGACCACAGGGCGTGTCATTGCACCAAGCACGAACACTTGATTAACATTATAAATTATTAGTTAATTTTTATCTTCCATGGATATGTGGGGTGAACCATCGATAAATTATGTGCCTTGGGGCGGTCTCGGAAGTCTAAGGAGAGTCCTCTTTGTGTCTTGGAGACCTGTGCTCCCCCCTCGGCCTTCTCTAGTTCTGAGGCGTGAATGGATGGGTTAGGGTCTTTCTGAGGGCCGGGCACCACTGAATAACAAGAAGTTGGTGTGTGCGAATTTTTGTGGGGGATGACTCCCAGGGGCTTGCACGTGCTGGGTGCACACTCTGCCACAGAGCTACAGCCCCAGCCACCATGATTACTTTCGAACAATCATTGTTCCCTAGCCCTGGGTCTAAGGTGGAGCCATTTGGGAAGAGGCCAGGCGGTTGGTGGGCATGGTAACCATTAGAGAAAAGACAATTTAGATGTGAGAGAAGGAAAGCACTGTATTTGGTTCTTTTCTTTTCTACAGGACGATACCTCCCAGGAGAATAATATGCAAGTGGAGGTCACAGGTAAACTAAAACAGCATTTTCATAACGCGTTCCCCAAGCAGAACAGCACTTCCACTGGGGTCTCCGTCATCATGGTAAGTGGTGTGCGGCGGCCGGAGCTGCTGTCATGCAGAAGTTGGGGCCTCAGCGCCCCTGTGCTCGGGTGAAGAAGTCAGAAGGGCTCCACTCCAGGCTGTGGGTGCGTGCCAGGGGCCGTGTGGGCTCCAGGGAGGCCAGGCTGATGGGTGCAGGTGCCAGGGACCCTCTGCTCTCTGCTGTCACTGTTGCTCCCCAGAGCCCAGGAGGGTGCAGTGTAAGCAGAGAGCTCCCCGACTTCCGGGCTGCCAGGGAGGTGATTCAGGGCACCACTCATTCTTTGGGATTTGGGGGAAGAAGTAGCCTAAGTTAAACAAATTTCATGTTTTTAGGAATTAGTATTTTATAAAAGACAGTTTGGGGGCTCTCAGAACTACAGAACAATACTTTTTAAAAAAACACTTTTCAGGGTTAGTAAAACTTTACAAAAAGTCAGAAACAGTGATCACCATTATTTCTTTTGTACCTTTGCACAAAATGTTCTTTGACACGTCCTGCTGGCTTGACACACCAGTGGTGCATGTGTGGTTCTCCGGCCCGATGGGACAGTCATGTCCCGCTGATGGGCAGCGACACACACCAGGGATGGCCCTGTCGTGGACGTGTAGCTGAGGATAGAAATACAACAGATTGAAACGAAAAGTAGCATTCAAGTAAGGGAAGGCAAAAGCAAATGAGGACAGGAGAAAACCATGAAATTGAGCCCAAAGTGAGGTCAGTAAGAATGTGCTGCCCCGCGGCCCAGGCCTCACCCTCGGGAAGCTAGAGCCCCTTCTCCAGGGCCAGCCGGCCCGAGGGACCAACGGCTGCCCAGATTTCAGCACGCGGTGTCCCCACGGCCCTGCAGCCTCTCGCTCCGTGGGAAGGCCCCCAGCACAGACCTGTGGCTTTTTCTCTCAGCACCTTGGGATCCTCGCCCCTGGTCTAGGAAGGTACAAGGTCCAGGCAGCAGCTGGAAGGGACCCCCAGCCCACGCTGCCCCAGGCGAACACGTGACGCTCTGCCCTGTCCTGAGCACCCACCCGGTTCTCAGCGCCTGCCGGCCTGTCATTCTGGCCTCTCCCCAGGCGCGCTGCGTTCATTTGGCCCCCTCTGGATGTCCTTGCATCGTCCCCTGTACTCCTGCCAGGAAGCGTGCTGTCCCCGCCCTCCTCAGACTGACTGGGCCTTATGACAATGTGCAGGCCTTTGGGATGCTCCCTGCCAAAGGCGTGGCACGGCTGCCATGTGACCTGTGGTTTCCCTAGCTGTTGATAGTGTTTCCCTGAAAGCATAAAAAAGACCGAGTTGTCACAGAATCATGGTTTAAACACTTGGAAAAGAACCATCTGTATGGAGCCAGCAGCCTGGGGACCTTTTGAAGTGATTCCCTTATGAAAGCTGGCATCGAGGGCTGCGACAGAACCTGGAAAGCCTCGCCATGCTCTGTGTTCAGAGGGAACTTTTGGAAAAATTTGGAAAATGAAGACATTCAGAAGTGGCCTAGTCAAACCAGGAGTACAGCTCAGTGCAGAGCTCATGCTTAGCACGAATGAGGCCCTGGGTTCCATACCCAGCCCTGGAGGAAGAAAGTGGGCGTATTCAGCATGTAATGAAAAACCTTAGTGCTTAGTTGGAATCAGAATGTAATAACTGTATGACTGCGAGCTGCAGAATCATCTGAGAGAAAGCAGCTTTCCCGCCCGTGCCCAGAGCTTAGGATGCCCCTGGTGCCTGCAGCCCCGCTGCCTCCCAGCGGGGGTTCTGGAGCGATGGGCAGCTGTGTCCCGGGCAGTGCCCGAGGCCCAGCCCCTCAGACCGAGCCCGAGCCCGTGGTCCACGAGGGGCATTTTTCCATCTTCAGAGAGTGGAAGGAGCCCAGCGGGCACCGTCAGCGTAAGTCAGTGTAAGCCGAGCGGACGGAGCCAGTGGCTGCGACTGTCCTCACAGTTTCCTATGGGGCCTTGCTGTGCGCTGCGTAAAAGGCAGCTTCTGGGAAAGTTTCGAAAAGTGGCTGTGAGAGCTGGGTATCGTTCGGCACATGTTGGCAGGGTCCTGTCTAACTGCATGTTCCCTACAGGACTCGGCAGGCTGTTGGCAAATGGCGTCACCCCATCTCCACTGCCAGAGCTGAGCTTGTGGCAGGCAGACAGCTGTCTACCAGCCTCTGCGGGAAGAGGAGTCTGGCACTCGTCTCTGGCAGTACCCGTTCTCACGGCCCGAAAGCCTCCTGTGGAGTTTTTCTTGTCCTTGAAAGTGCCAGGAGGAAAAGGCCCCTTGCTCACCGCAACCCAGCCAGGACCAGGCCCGGTTATGGCTGTGCAGGGACACGGGTCCCCTCTGTGCTCGTCCTCGTTGCCATGACTGTGTCTGGACGCCCCATCTCTGGGGCAGCTTGAACGTTTTTATATTAAAAAGAGCCACAAAATGACGGTCCGCGCACTCCCGCGGTCTCGTTACTGTGGGAGCTGATACGGTTTCCCGCAGATTGTTAGAGAGCTGTCTCACAGCTTGCAGACAGGACTTCGGCCCTCCCCTGTCTTCCCTGTGCCCCCCATTTTGTTCCCCGGGTCGGTGCCTGAGGCTCAGTGAGAAAATGGTAGGAAGTTGTGTTTAAAGGTGAGAGAAACTAAAGCTGACAGTTTGTCTGCATTGTTGTTTGACAGTTTGATTTGACAGTGTGAGAGAGAGACACCACTGAGTTTCCTCCTTTCCCCAGCCCAGATGGTGGGAAGCCCCAAATCAGCATCTCGGTATTGAACCTGTGCTCACCAGCAGCTCCTAATCCTCAGCCCCTCTGACATCTGCATGCCTGGCGTAGCTTCCTGTCACGCAGGGCCTGTGCACCCACTGACTGCCTTTGGCCAGCCCGGCACCCCTCAGGGCACGGTGTCCAGACCGCTCAGCTTTCCTCCCGCCTTGCCCCCAGACTGAGAGTTGGCAGGGAGGAGGAGGGTCCCAGGAGTTCTGCCAACTGCGGTTTTTCACATAGGTGAAACAGCCCCTCTGAGTGGACGGCAGTATAAGATAAGTGTCTTCGTGAAAGGGTTTGTTTTCTTTCTCAGCTACATTTTCAAAGCTAGAAACGTTCATCAATAAGACAGTCTGCCAGCCTTTGAGATGAGAAGATAATTATATCGCAAGGGAGGCTCTGGTTTTATACGGCAGAAAGGCCTGTGGTTTTGGATTACACGTCCGGGTTTTTTCACTCGCCCTTAGCTCGCCTAAGTCAGGACAGTGCCATGGGGGATGGTTTCTTTGTCCTCCAGGTGGGCTCAGCCCACCTCGGAGACCGGCAGGGGCCACCTTGTGGTGCAGACGGGAATGACAAGAAGCCTCGCTCACTGCACCCAGCAGCGCGGCCTGCGGCAGGGCCCAGCCAGACAGGGAGCGGTTTCCACTCTAGGGGGTCAGGCCCCCTGCAGTGGGTGTGGGGGATTCGGGTTGTTTGCTTACTGTAAGGTAGACAAGACTGTGCTGCTTCTGTGGAAAGTAAGTCTAGTTTCTGTCCCTGCTTCTCTCCCTTCTCTGGCCTCTCCCGCGCCTGCCTTGCTTCCCTGCCTAGGTCCAAGGCCACGGTACGTACTAACTGCACGGCCACGCTTCCCTGCTGCCCAGTCGCGTGACCCGACAGGCGGGGAACGGAGAAATAACGCGGGGGTGCGGCGCTGCTGCCCATCCGCTTCAGTGCGGGTGGCGCTGCCCTGGTGCCGCCCTGACCTGCGGGAGCCCAGCTGTGGAGAGGCTGCTGCTGCCTCCTCCCAGGGACGGGGCTGCTCTCGGGGTCCAGGCAGGGTGCAGCATAGCGCTCGGCCCTGAGGGCAGCTGCGCAGGATACCTCCTGGTTGCCGTCCTGCTCCAGAAGCTCAGGACTTAGGCAGCTCGCGGGCCGTGGACGGCACGGAGGAGCGAGAAGGGGAGAGCAGGTCACAGGACGCGGTCGCCAACGGGCCGTGGCCTTTGCTGCCGCTTCTGGGGTGGGCGAGCCCGAGGCCCCGCTGTCCCGCAGCGCAGCAGTGGGGCCCCCGCACCCCGGCTCTGCGGCCTTCTGGGGAAGCACGACGTTATTTCTCCTCCCCCCCTCCTCCGGGCCTGTGCATGCCCTGGGTGCTCGGGCTGCGCGGGCGGCGGCCGTGACTAACGTGTCGTCTCTGCTGGTTTCTCCCCAGAGCACGGCCTTAGATAAGGAGGGGCAGATTCTCTGCAGCAAGCGCTGTCAGGAAGGCAGCAGACCTGCGACGGAGCGAAGCTCGCCCACTCCTCTGCCCACCCAGGAGCCCCCCGAGCCCGGGGCGGGCTCCCCCCCGCGGCCCTGTCCCCCTTCCGCCGCGGGCTGCGAGCGGGCGGGGACCTGGCGCCGCCGCCGAGACTGAGCCCTGCTGGCTGTGCTCCTGGAGGGGACCTGTGCCGCCAGCTCGGAGGCCTCCCGGGACTGACTGCGCCGCCCTGAGCAGTGAAAGCCCCGCGGGGAGCCAGAGCCCCTCGGAGCTCAGCCCGAGGACCACATCTCCCGGGCGTCCTGGCCGCCTCCGCAGGAGCGCGGAGAGCGGAGCGTGGCTGGACCCAGACCCAGGGGCGGGCGCCCGTCCGACTTAGGAATCGCCACTGCAGTGCGCCGGGGCTCCGCGCCCGAGCCCTAGCCTTAGCCCGAGCCGCCCGGCTTCGCAGCTGTTTTTCCTCAGGAGCGAGGCCTCAGCGCGCCGGGGACTGGGCAGGAGGTGCTCCGCGGATCCCGTTGTTAACCTTCTGGAAGGCTGCTGGCAGTTTTTCCTTTTTTCCACCACCTTACTCTTTTTAATGATTGTACATGATCACGTATTTGTTCTACCTGCCCCACTTCTAAACAGGTGGGCCGTCCCAGTAGTTCATTCTCATTGTTAGATTTTGCCTTCTGCGAGTGTCCCCAACCTGCAATAAACCCTTCCCTCTTCAGAAGAAAGCCATCGGGGATGGGCAGGGCGTTCTGTGTGGTTGCTTTGCAGAGAGCGCGAGGTGAGCAGAGCGCACCTCCAGGGCACCA